GATTGCTCCCACCCTCCTTCTATACACCTTCCCCGTGACTTGCATTAACTTAACCCTGTTGATTTAACCTGTAACTAAATGGAAGAGACCTTCTTTTCTTGTTATAGTCTTGTCCTTGTGCCAAGTTTTTTTTTTTTTTTTTTAGTTTTCCCCCATATTCGTTTCCCTGGATTACTCCTGAGTTAATTCTGTGCCAAAAAATTAAAAATTCTGCACACAATATTTTAAAATTCTGCAAAATCCTGCATGTTTATCTGTCAAAATAACACTATATAATCATGCCAATTTCAATTTATTTTGGTAGTTTATTTTAAAATACCTGTCAGCAACTAGTCTGTAACAATACAGACAAAAAAATTCCCCCAGGAGTAAAGGGTTAAAGAAACCCCTCCAACACGGTTCCTGTTTCTCTACCCCTTCTCTCCCCAGCCCAGACACCCTACACCCCCCCGCCCAAGCCCAGCAGTCCCCTAATGTTGTCCAGCAGCTCTGCAGCCCATTTCTTGTGGGGGGGGGGGGAGAGAAATTCTACACAGAACATTAATTTCTGTGCAAATTCTGCATTGCACAGTGGGTGCGAATTCCTCCAGGAGTAACTGGACATTCCACCTGAACGCTGCTGCCATAATCTGTTTTCTACCCCTTCACAATTTTGTGCCCTGGAAGAAAGAAAGGGGGTAAGGGGAGGGGTGGCAATGGGATAGAGCACCTTTTCCAGCAATTCATCTCTTTGACTATTTTGAAAAGTACTATGTTCCTGCAGCCCCTGTGGTACAACTGATTTGAAAACTGCATGCTAAATGTGCACGTGTTGCTAATTAAGTAAAATCTACTTAGGTCAAGGAATTTATAATTTTAATATTTTATGTATGTAGTATGAGGAGGAAGAGACAAAGGAAAACTGCTTAGTATGTAGAACCTCAGAGTTATGAACACCAGAGTTACGAACTGACCAGTCAACCACACATCTCTTTCCGAACTGGAAGTACACAATCAGGCAGCAGCAGAGATAGGAAGAGGGAGGGGGGGGGGGGGAAAGCAAATATAGTAAACACATTGTTTAGTGTTAAACTACTGAAAAATCAAAGCAGCATTTTTCTTTTTCATAGTAAAGTTTCAAAGCTGTATTAAGTCAATCTTCAGTTATAAACTTTTGAAAGAACAACCATAACGTTTTGTTCAGTGATACAAACATTTCCATTACAAACGACTTTCATTCCTGAGGTGTTTGTAACTGTGAGGTTCTGCTGCAAGTTGGTTTATTGTAATTTTCTTTCTCTCTATCCTACTTCACTTCATTCTTGCATCTTTCTGTTGGGGTCAATCTTTTCAGCTTTCATGCAGTAAAAGGTGGATGGAACAAGTCCTTATGAAGGAACAACAGTTGTTAGATTTTTTGTCTCCTGCTTAGAAGAAGATGGCTATACAACATGTAATGTTGTAAGCAGTTATTCCTTATTACATAGAACTTAAAAGATAGCTTCATTTCAAAACAGTTTTTAAAAGATAAACTTTCTTGTAGTCTGAACTTATGAAGTTTTCTGTTTTTAAGGGTAACCTTGGAAATCTACCATGTAGTTTTTGAAAGACATGATCAGAATTCAGAATGAATTTGATAAATTAGAGAAGTGTGAAATCAACCAGATGAAATTCAGTAATGACAAGTGCAAAGTACTACACTTTGGAAGGAAAAATCAAATGGGGAATAACTGGCTAGGCAGTAGTATTGCAAAAAAGGATCTGGGGGAGAATAGTGGATCACACATTTTGAACATGAGTCAATGTGATAGTTGTAAAAAAGGCTAATGTTCTGGGGTGTATTAACAAAAGTATCAGATGTAAGATACAGGACACAGTTGTTCTTCTCTACTTGGCACTGGTGAGGCCTCAGCTGGAGTATTGTTTTGGGCACCACATTTAAAGATGTGGATAAATTGGAGCGTAACAAAAAGGACAGAAGGCTTAGAAAACATGACCTATGAGGAAAGGTTTAAAAAACAAAACTCTGCATGTTTAGTCTTGTGTAAAATGTTGTTAGAAAGATGGTTATGATAGATTTGTTTCCCATGTCCACTGAAGGCAAACCAAGACAAAATGGGCTTAATCTGCAGCAAGGGAGATTTAGCCTAAATATTCGTGCATTCTAACTATAAGGATAGTTCTATTCTGGAATAGATTACCAAGGGACCCCTCATTGGAGATTTTTAAGAACAAATTAGACAGCCACCTGTGACGGATGGGTCTAGTTATACTTGGTTCTGCCTCAGCACAAGGGAATGGACTAAATTACCTTTGTGGTCCTTCCTATCCTACATTGATATAGTTTTATGACTTCCTTTCCTTTAGGGCAGTTTTGCTGAAAACCTTGCATTTCTTCTTGACGCTTTAAAGAAAGGTAAATATTTTGTATAAGACTTTAAACCCCAGGTGAGTTTTAACAAACTTTCACCCAAATGCTGTAGAGAAATCAAAGATTACCTCACACTGTAGATCAGTGGTCTCCAACCTTTTTATGTCCAAGATCACTTTTTGAATCTAAAGGCAACCCAGGATCTACCCTGCCCCTTCCCCAAAGCCCCGCCCTGCTCACTCCATTCCCCCCACTCTGTCACTTCTCTCCCCCACCCTCACTCACTTTCACCAGGTTGGGGTTCAGGAGGGGGTGCAGGCTTTGAGCTGGAGCCGAGGGGTTTGCAGTGTGGGAGGGGGCTCTGGGCTGAGGTTGGGATGCAGGAGTGGGTGAGGGGTGCAAGCTCTAGGAGGGAGTTTGGGTGCAGGAGGGGACTCTGAGCTGGGGCAGAGTGTTGGGTGTGGGCTCTGGGGGGAGGGGGGTTAGGGCAGGGGGTTGGGCTACAGGAGGGGGTACAGGATGCTGGCTCTAGGAGAGGGTTAGGGCTGGGGTTTGGGATGCTGGTTCTGGGAGGGGGGTCAGGGTGGGGCTTGGGGTGTAGGAGTGGGTATGGGGTGCTGGCTCCAGGAGGGGATTAGGGTGCAGGCTCCTGCCGGGCAACACTTAGCCTCGCTGCGCTTGCTGCCAACTGGGAGCCACCGGAGGTAAGACAGGCTTCCTGCCTACCCGACCCCACACCGCTCCCAGAAGGGGCCAGTGTGCTCTGTGTGTTGCCCCTCTCTGCAAGCACTGTCCCCACAGCTCTCCCAACCAATCGGGGCTATGGGGGCGGTGCTTGCAGGCAGAAGCTGTGCGCAGAGGGAGAACCCATGGGGCTGGGGTAGGCAGGGAGTGTGCCTTAGCAGCAGCCACACTGCACCACCGGAGATCACTATCAACTGGGAGATGCTCTAGGATCGACTAGTCGATTGTAATCAATGGGTTGGTGACTACTGCTCTAGACCATAGTACAAGGCACTTCTGCATGAGAACGAACCTTGGTTGTAAAATCAATAGCACGAACAGTACTGTGGTCATATTAAGCATTGTGATAGTTGAATCAAATACTTAAGCTTAATTTACAGGAGCAGCACTAAAGACTTCTTCCTCCTATTTATAGAATGGCTAATGATGGCAGGTTTAAAAAAAAATCTGGAAATAGTATTAAACTGTTTCCTGTTGGTTTTTAACAGTTACTATTATTTTTATTTATTTATTTTTGGTCTCCTTCACACCGCCTTCCCTCCCCCCCCCCCCCCCCAACCAGAATGCAGTCAGATTTTGCAGGTTTTATTGTTCATCCTACCAAAGCAGATATTTGCTATGCATTCAGGTGGATGTCTGTGTAGATTTTTGCAATGCTGTTATCAGTCTGCCCATGGTGAGAATTGATATAGCCTTTAAAATATTAAAATGATAAATGGGTGTCTTAACTGTCTGTCATTTTCACTTTGGTTTTTATTTGCAACCCAAAAATATCTTGACAAGCTAATTTAACCTCCGCACTACTTTAAGCTAAATAATCCTCAATAATCCTGGTGTGTAGCAAATATATGTGAGATGGGGGGGGCCTTATGAATTAGCAAAGATTTTTATAAACAGGTTAAAAACTTGAGGGCACACTAGAACAAAAGTGCTGCAATGGTAAGAAGTCGAATAGTCCTGTACTTACCAGTTCACTAATACTGACTGTTTTAATGCCTGTCTTAGGTGACCGAGATAGCAGTTGTCCAGTGCTATTTATACTGGATGAATTTGACCTCTTTGTTCATCACAAGAACCAGACATTACTGTATAACCTTTTTGATATATCCCAGTCAGCACAGACTCCAGTAACGGTTATTGGACTTACATGCAGACAAGTAAGAAGTTTGGGTTTTTTGTTTTATAGAGCTTATGTTGCTGACATCTGTAATGTTTCATATGCTTTTCATATTTTTATTAAGACTCATGCCTTAAGGAGACCATTCTGCTAATTTTGGAAACTTCTCCTCCTTACCTAGTGTTATATTGGCTTACTTTAAAAATTGATTCCAGTACAGATACAAAATAAGTGACACGAAATGCTACATATTCAGAGCAAATGGGAACAGAAGTAGGAAAACAGGTTACTGGAGCATATTCCTTTCTTACTAAGAAAATGAAGGAGGTTCTTTCAGACTTAATAGGAAGCAAATTTTTCCTGTATCTTAGAATAATCCATATCTGTCTTAAAGATTAAGCATCTCACCAAAACATGTACCAAAAGTTATAAAAAGAGAAGGACAACACAATAAGCTATTAAAGCTAATGCCATAGAAACAATGTCAATGCTATGTCAATTTCTCCTATGTCTTAACCAGACTGTACTTCAGGAGGAAAAGCAGTGGTCACCCCACTTAATGTGTGTGTTGCCTATGTCTAGACTTAAAGATGGAATTGAGGACAGGGTCATCTTCAGGGTATAGTAACCAACTTATCACTGGTGTCCCCCACAAAAAAGATTTAGAATAAGCACTAGAAATGACCTCAAACCACATTGACACGGTCAAAGAAGAATGCCCTTTCATTTCAGATAATTAAAGAAAAACTATATATAAACTTCAACACTCTTAAGACATAGGGGAACACAGGATAACGATAAGCATTACCCAGTGTTACATTTTTGTTTTGATAGTTGTTTTATAATATAAAGAACTACTAAAAAGTAAGACAAACTAAATTTTGCGGGGATTACATACAGTATGTGGCCACAAACTCAATAGTAGTAATTGTCAGCTGTCAATCTTCAGGCTTTCCTCATTATGTAATTAGGCTTTTGGGATCTCTGCTTTTTTTGTTCCCTGTTAGCTTCAATTTTACTACTTAAAAATGGTTACATTCCTGAGACGAGGGTAAACTTGGACTTCTTTTACTACTTTGCAGGAGCCATGTTAATCCATTTCTCATTAGTTTTCCATCTAAAATAATATCAGGATTAACATTGTTACCTATCTTTTGTTCTAGAGGGTGCTAGTCTCTTTCTTTCCTTGTTCACTAATGAGCAAGTGTAGTTTGATCCAAGTTTCTACTCTATCTTCCTACCACACTATGAAATATGACAAACGCTTTTTAAAAAGCAAACCTTTTTCACCAATAACTGCTGCTATAACACTGCCATACTAACTAAAGAAGAGACTTCTGATCTAGACTAATTTTGGGAAGGGGCGGGGAGGAGAGTAAAATCTTTCAGGCTTTTCTTGCATTCACTTTGTAAACTATACAGCAGTCTTGCATTATCATTAAACACTAAGTCTCTGAATTCCTACAATACAGTATGTCTTCATGGAATACAAACTACATGTGTATTTAAAAAGCTGGTTAAACAACTATTACTTCAATCAAACACTCATGTGATCATAACATTAACAATCTAGAAAAATATTATTAAAGGTTTTAATTTTTTTTCAATGCTCTTAAAGCAACAGTTAAAGATGACTAGGTCACAAGAAAAGGAAGGGGAGACTGTCTCAAAAAACAGTGGGCCTGCAATAGAACAAGTTTAGGGTGCTTCTGATTTTTGTTTCAAGGCACTGTCTAATGGGCACGTTAATATTAGACCTATTAATGTACAGAATCTCTTCTGTTATAAAGGTTACTGTTTCCAGAGTCCATTACACTTTCTATCAGTGACTTATCTTAATTGGATTCAGGAGCAACATCTGTTTAAAATCAGCCTTTTTATAAAAATCTTCCATCTCTTGTAGAGTCTCATTAGATTTCATGGGAATTGGAGGCCGATATACAGTGGGTCATCAGATGGTGTCCAAAAGATTGTGTTTGTCCTATTACTACTGTACTTGTAATTTGTTTCGATTTCATTCTCTTTCGGGAGATGATTTCATGCATTTTTAACCAAGCCTAAACCTTCCTGATTTCAGGGAAAGTAAAAAGACTGGAAACAAAGTAATCCTTCTCTGACCCAAATGTCACTGTAATAGGGAAGCAGTATTTAATTTTTCTTTTAATAGACAAATGCCAATTTTCTCTTATTTGTTACCTCTCTAGAGAAAAATCAGATTATTCTTCCTGCTCAAAAGCAGCCTAATATTTGTGTGGTACATGAGAATTATTCTTCTAAAAGAGAAATGTTGGCTCTTGGAAATTTTTCTGGCCAGATCAGGTTCAGCCTTCCAAAAGACGTGTGAAATGACAGCCACCAACCTACACATGTTTACGGCCCTGGTACAGTGGCTGAAGTATCTTGAATACAACCCAAAGTAATTGAAATATTTACTTAATCTATGGAAAAATTACTGTGTATCCCAGCCACTAATTACTGTGACTTACGTAAATAGCTTGTAGTTGGGCATTTAAAAGGAACATTGTCAATTATATTACAAATTAGCAAGTTTGTTACTAATCATGCTTTATATTATTCAAACAAAATGTTGTTAATCCAGTTTTTTTATTTATGCTGTTTGTACTTTCATCTTAGACTGTTTCACTGAATATCTCCAATTTTGTTTTTACAAGGATATTCTGGAACTCCTGGAAAAGAGAGTGAAGTCAAGGTTCTCCCACCGACAGATATATTTGATGAATTCATTTGATTTTAAACAATATCTTAGAATATTTAAAGAACAGTTATATCTACCTGCAGAGTTTCTATACAAGCCTTTCATACAGAAATGGAATAAGAATGTTCAGGTAACTTGAAACAAAGGTAGTAATAATGAAGTAATTAACTTGTCTCACTGAAGTGTTTTGAAAAGGTTAAAATTTATAAATTTGCTAAATTGCTGTGGTTTAAAATAGTGTTTTTTGTCTTTACCATCCTGTTTGGTTTTGGTGTTCAGTATTTAAGAAAGAAATAAAATGTGAAATAGCATATGTTTTCTCTTTTTGCTTCAAAGTTAAGACCTCTAGTTTTTAGAAAGTCAGATTATAACTGTTTGTATTATCATAGCTCCTAGTAACCCTGTCCCCATTGTGCTAGGCATTGTCAAATAGAACAATATTGGTCAGCAGACCAGTGGCTGAGCCCATTTTCAAGTAATTTTATTAATCTGAGTAAAGGATGATATGATGCATCATGTGAATAGTGAATCATGTGCCATCTGAAATAATGCTGAGCAGGTTGTGCTTGAATTGAAGTTCCCTTGAGAGGGAATGAAGTTTATACTGACCATGTGTCCCAGAGAGACTGTACATATAATATAGCTTGTATTGTGAATTAAACCTTGAACTTTGTTTAATAAGCTGTTGTTAACATGTGTATATCTCTAGCTGTATTTCACCATCTGTGATCTGAAACTGACAGATCTAACACAGCCCAAGGCAATTAGGTACTGAGCAGCACGTGGATGGGAAAACAAATTTGGAAACTGTAATGGTGCTAGTGACTTTATAGCACTTTGAACTATTGAGTCAGAATGCCCCAGAATAGCAGTAGAACCACAGGGTGATTTGTGCTGTCTTTCAAAAGAAACTTAGAGGTCCTGTTTTTCTGGCCATTAAAGAACCCCTGGCACTTTGTATGAAGAACAGATATTAAATTAATAAAGTTTAAGGCCAGATCTAATCACTAGATGGCCTATAATTTTCACATGGTCAGGCTAGACTATTACATTTCACCCAGTTACCCCTGTATCCAGTTCAATTATTTGTTTGTGTCTTTTCTGAAAATATGCTTTAAACAATCTTCATTTGAAGACACTGATAGAGAATCTACCTCTTGCCTTGATATATTTTAGGAAAAGTGCCTTATTTCTAATTTGAATTTCTCTGGCTTCAGCTTTCAGCCATTGGATCTTGTTATGCTCTTCTTGGCTACATTACAAAGCCCTTTAGTACCTGGTTTTAGCCCCTTCTTCTGGGCATTTTTGGCATCTGTTATGGGATCGATTTAAATATGCTTGATATCGCCTCTTATTGTGGTGGACAGGCCATCCAAAGAAGTGGGTATTCACCCACAAAAGCTCATGCTCCTATACGTCTGTTAGTCTATAAGGTGCCAGAGGATTCTTTGCTACTTTTACAGATCCAGACTAACACAGCTACCCCTTTGATATTGTGGTCATGTTTCTTTGCCCTTAAAAGTCTCAGTTCCATCCCAAAGATGGCTGCATTGCAGTAGTGGATAAAATTATTCCAATATAAGCAACTTGCAGGGTTTATTAACACACACTTTTGGATTCTTTGGGGGTGAATGGTGCTCTAAAATATTAAAGACAAGGTGAATGAGGTAATCTTTTATTGGACCAACTTCTATTGGTGAGAGAAACAAGCTTTCACATGTACACAGCTGTTCTTCAGGTCTGGAAAGGTACGAAGTGTCACAGCTAAATAAGAGGCAGAACACATTGTTTAGCATAAGTAGTTAACACACATTTCAAGGTGAAGATGCCTGTTACATCTCGGGGAAGGGGGGGGGGGGGAGGAGAAAGGGACCTGTAGGGGGGTGTTACTGGGTTATAGATGGTTGTTTATAAGCCATAAATCCAGTGTCTATTCAGTCTGGTTTTTACTGTTTAGTAAAGTTATGAATTTAAGATCCCATGCTCATCTTTGGAAAGGGTGCAGATTTCCTTTAAAGATGAGGATTGATAAGTCAGAGTTGCTTTGTGAAAAGCATTCACCCATAGGTTATATGGTGTCCTGTCTTGTCTTTGCTTTTTTCAGGAATCATCAAACTACAACCCATATGCAATGGGGACACCATCCTGAAATAAATCTTTCCTAAAACCCCTCTTTTGGCCTTCAAACAACCCTCCAACCTCTTCCTTACTCTACTGTGGGAAGCTTGCTTCTGGTAACAGATCCTGCCTAAAAGGAAGGGGTTGGGGGGTGGGGGAGGAGCAGGTGGAAGGTCTGTGGCTCCTTACAGCTGCCTGTGCGGCTCTTAACCCAGCCCAGCTCCAGCTTCCAGTCTGGCCTCGTGGTGGGACTGAAGAGCAGCAGCTGGACCATGGTAAAAGCCACCCAGGCAGCTGTGGGGAGGCAGGGACACTGCCAGGGGGCTGTTCGGGGGGGGGGGGACACGCGCTCCCCAACCCTGGGCAGAGGGCAGGTCCATAGCTCCCCACAGCTGCTTAGGCTCCCCAGGCCACTCTTGGCCAGGCCAGGCTCCAGCTTCTAGCTTGGCTGGGGTGCAGGGCCTCAGAGGAAAGAGGGGGGGCAAGGAGCCAGGCCTGGGCAAAAAGTGGACAGGCCATGCCTATCCATTTTCAAAAAGTGACAGGGCCATGGCCCCTTGGTCCCTCCATTCTGGTGCCCCATCCCACAGATCGGGACACACTAACTCAAAGCAGCCCCAGATTCTGCCACAACAGATGCAAAACCTGCTGACCTATCTCCACTATTACAATGATCAACACCCTCCACAACACACCTTTCACGGTTCATGGGTCCTACAAATGCCTATCGTATGTGGTGTACCTCATCCAGTGCACTAAATGCTCCCACAACAACTATGTGGGTGAAACCAATCGCTATGCTCTTGAATGAACTGTTGTAGGGGACAAACAAAAACCCCACATCACCTGTGGGTGAACACTTTTCATAAAGCAATCACTCAGTATCTGACCTATCAGTCTTCTTAGAATCATAGAAGATGATTAGGGTTGAAAGACCTCAGGAGGTCATCTAATCCAACCCCCCTGCTCAAAGCAGGACCAACTCCTACTAAATCATCCCAGCCAGGGCTTTGTCAAGCTGGGCCTTAACCACTAAGAATGGAGATTCCACCACCTCCCTAGGTAACCCATTCCAATGCTTCACCACCCTCTTAGTGAAATAGGTTTTTTTCTAATATCCAACCTAGACCTCCCCCACTGCAACTTGAGACCATTACTGCTTCTGTCATCTGCCACCACTGAGAACATCCTAGTGCCATCCTCTTTGGAACCCCCCACCCCCTCCATTAACCGGGGTGTTAATAGACCACTTAGCCTTGAATGGTCCCTTGAAATGTGTTAACTACTGTATGCTAAACAATGTTCCACTTTTCCCAGACCTGAAGAAGAGCTCCATGTAAGCTCGAAAGCTTGTCTTTCTCCAGTAGAAGTTGGTCCAATAAAAAAAATTACCTCACCCACCTTGTCTCTCTAATATCCTGGGACCAACACTGCTACAACACTGTATATTTTAGATTGTGTTGCAATTTTTTTAAAATGATGACTGCTTGAAAAGCTGGTCAAAACATTGCAGCATGGTATCAAATAGTCATGGCAACTTCTCAGGTTAGGTTTACTTTATTTTTGGATTCAGGTACAAAAGAGTTGGCTGAGGGAGAATTTGTTAGTTGGAGTTTATACTTAACAGACTTGAAATATAACTACCGCTTAGGCCATGTCTACTCTACAAAAATGTTGACCTAACTTATATTGGCATACAGCCACCACGGTTATTAAATTGCTTGTGTGCTCACACTTGACTCCTTGTATCAATTGTATTGTCAGTGTGGGGCATTATGGGATGGCTCCTGAAAAAAGTAAGTCAACCTAAGCAAGGCAATAGCTACGCTGACAGTATGTTGAATACATCAACCATGACTCTGTGCCACTCAAGGCGGTGTTAAATTGGTGTAGAGGCATCTGGGAGCCAAATTTAAGTGAAGACACTTCCACAGCTACTTCGACACAAGACAGCTTATGTTGACATAAACATATAGTGTAGACCAGGCCTAAGTAAGATCTCAGGAGAGGGAGTGGCATTTGAATGATCCATTTGAAGAGTCAATAGTATGGAAATACAATGGAGTATTTCTTATTTAAAGAGACTATAAACTTGTCTGCTGAGAGGCTGATATACAAAGTGTTGGCCAGAGGAGGTAGCTTACTCTGAAAAGGCAAGCTGAATTGCTTTGTGTACAGCTAGTTAAATGATTAAGAATCATATGTGGTTTTAAAACCATTAAAATATGGCTACAAATGAGAAAATCCATGAATTTCTTTCACTAAATTTTTTCAATAGGTGTGTGTGTGTATATATAAACTGGAAGTTTTACAATGATCACCATATGTATTTCAGAGCTGGAAGAGGATTCAACATATTTAGTATTACTGCCTAGTTTAATACCAAATGGACTGTAATTTCACTCTTTTCAAGTTATACTTGTGGAAATCTTCTCTACAGAGCTTAGCCTGTCTTTCCCCCTTAAAGAAAAATTTCAGTGGTTTTTTCAGAATTTTGTTCTGATTCCACAATAAATATTAATACTGATTAATAAAAATAGATCTGGTTAGTTGACCAAGAATTTTCCAGTTGGATAAGAACCAGTGCATTAATTTTACCAGTGTATCTTAAAAATTCCATTTTTAGTCTCTTTCAGAAGACAGAACAGTGCAAGATGTGCTACGAAATCATTTCCACTGCAGCAAAGACCTGCGATCACTTCACATGCTATTGGTATGTTACATATTGATATGTTTCTAAAAGTTAAATCTCATGATATTGCTAATACAGTAGCCTGTGAGCTATAATTTTTCATACAAGTTTAATTGAGCTTTACATGAAACATCTTATTGGATAGGTTTTTTTCAAATGTGATTAGCAGGCCTATTTTGATCTCTAAGTAGACTTGAAGGTGTTTTGGTTTCCTGGTCTCCCTCAACATCCAGTGCTTTCTGCTTGGGCTTATCTGGGGCCATTCAGGTGGCTTCGTATCTTTTTGTGACGTGGCCTTCAGCCATCCTGGCTTTTCCTGCCAGATGCGTGGGTTTCCCTGGTGAGCTGTCACAACATCTGGCTTCCTAATTATCAAGTAGAGAGAGGAACATAAACCAAATTGGTAGAGCTGCCCTCTAAGCAGCTTTTTGGGAAGTATCTGGCCAAAGCTCAAATATCCATTGACCAACTCCTCTTAGTGTTCTCAAGGTTTTCAGAGGGGAGGGGCTTACACCAGTCCTCCTCTTGGAAGCAGTCTTGTTCCATGGCAGTCCAGGAGTCCTTCACACTTCTTTTTGAAGAAGATTCCCTACAGCCAGAACTCCTTTTTGCATTGCTGAACGCTTCCCTCAAGCAGCCCAAATAAAGCCTTACTGGCCACCACCCTACCCCTTTTTCAGTCATCTCATTAGAATAGTGGTGGGCAACCCCTGGCCCGCAGACCACATGCGGCCAGTCAGGGTAATCCAGTGGCGGGCCACGAGCCACTGTTTACATCAACGATCCCACAGGCATGGCCACCCGCAGCACCCAGTGACTGCAGTTCACTGTTCCCGGCCAATGGGAGCTACGAAAAGCAGCGGCCAGCATGTCCCTGCGGCCTGCGCGGCTTCCCAGAGTTGCCATTGGCCAGGAACAGCAAACTATTGCCACTGAGAGCTGCACGGGGCTGTGCCTGTGGAGGGTCAAGGTAAACACGGTCTTGCAGCCCACCAGTGATTACCCTGATGGGGTGCAGACTTCCAACCCCGCCTCCCCACTGCATTAGAAGGTCAATTCAGATCTTTCTCTTAGGCCTGGAATTCTGAATCTTCACTACCTGTACACAAGAAGTGATTAGTTTAGGATATGCCACAGTTCCTTCCTGGATATCCTCCTGCCCATCAGATCTGGAATGTAGAGGTAGAGAGCTGAGATCTTCTGAACAAAAAGGCCATCTGTCTTGTCACTTACCCTACACCTCCACTTCCTGACCAGAGACTCGGGATTTTACTCCTGATATTCCATCGTCTGCTAGTGCACAGGTTTTCTTATTCACTTTGAAACTCAACTACTTGGTGTGCTGTAGAAAATTCTGAATCGGAACCACCCCTCTTGTCTATTCTTCAAGCCATCTCACCTTGCAACTTCCTTTGCTTTGTGCACCTGTAGGATCTGCACTTTTCTTCACCCTCATGCTAACACATTGGCAATACCAACACTTTACGATGTAACCAGAACTTCCACTTCTGCCCCTCCCTTTGGTCTTGCCTCTGACTTGTGGGTTTTCTGTAAAATCCTTAACCTTCATAACCAACTTGAATGAGGAAAAGTATTCACATTTTATCTCTACCAGAATGTGATTGAAACCTCAATCTCCTCTCTAGTCCATGAACAGTTTCGCTCTTACAGACCACAGACACCTCTTCTGCAGGGAATTCCTATCTGCTTTCAGCCTTGGTAACCAAATATCAAGGTATGACATTAGAATCTTTCCTTACCTGTGTCAGCCACACTTTTCAGCAGATAAATCACTCTGTTCTGAATGGATTTGGCACAGGGGGTCAGACTCTGCTTATGCCCCTGCAGAACTTTATTTTCCAGAGATGGTACACATGCTTACCTGAGGAACTCTGTGCATATCCCAACCAGAAATCCTTTCTGTGTTACTCTTCCCTTTGGATGCCAGGTAGCTAAGTTTCTCTGCATTATACATGCCACCATCCTATCAGGCTGGAGAGTTCACTTTAGCAGTTTGTCAGCCCAATAAACTTGCCCTCCTCAATATCTAAATCTCCAAGTGCTATTTGCTTAGCCATATTGAGTTTGGAACCACTTTTGAACAACAGTTTTATGGTCTGGTTTGCTGTGTCAACAGGCGAGGGTAGACGGCGCAGATTTCACTACAGGAACTTAACCCAACTGCCTTGGGAAAAGATCCTTTCTCAGGGGATAGGGACAGAGAATTGAGCTACTGCCTCCCTGGTATCTAGCCTAAGAACAATTAAACAGGACCATGCTGAGAATTTCTCTGCATCTATTGCTTCTGAGTGTCCAACACCATGAGCTCTGGCTACAGTCCTCTATATTGATATTCCCCTGGAAATTTGACCTGTTATCCTGAGGCCAAAGCATCTTCTGCAGCTTGGAACATCTAGCTTTTGAGGTCTGGGGCCTAAGTGGTTTCCACTCCAAGAGGAAAGGCTTCTGTGAAGAAATAACTAACTGCCTCTGAGATGGAAGCTGTCCTCATATCATAACTTTACCTGGTTCTAGAATACCTTTACCAGTTAGTCAAAATAAAAATGCTGAGGTGCCGGATTGTTCTCTAGCATGTCCTGAATGTCTTGTTTTCCTTGGGAAAGGACTGAAGGTGAGCCCTGAGTTTACTCTTTGGCAATAGGAGGAGGTTGGAATACAGATTTTGGCTGATAGTCTCATTACAGCACCCCAAGCACAGCCCAGTTTCCCCTTAATGGGACTTTCCCTTAATTTTGAATGTAGTTGTCTGCCATTTGAACCTGTAGGAGAAGTATCCCTGAGGTTGCTTTCTCTCAAGTTAGTTAATTGCTGACTTCAGTGCAAAGAATCAGAGGTGACCTTGCTAGTTATCTTTCTACCTTAAATCTTTTCCTGTATCAGCACACTTTTACTTACCCCTGCAGTTTGTTACTTAAGTTTAATTCAGAAATTATTTTACTTAATTATGTCAAGAACCTTTCAATTCCCTTCAATGGAATTTATATTCCCTTAATGTGGAACGGGCCCTGAAGTTTTGTCTTGCTCACTCAGGAATTCAGAAAAGTTGAGTACTTCAAGAACGGTAAAGCTGTTTAAGGCTAGAGTAAATGACTGAATTTGGGATTGTAGCCTAGATGTCTAACCCTGTTGGTAAAACTTAACTAACTGCAGGTTAGTCAGGTTTTACCAAGACCCATTCCCTCATGACCACCTCAGGAGTTTGGAGGACTTAAGTATCCACCAGCTGCAAGGCAGTCGTGGGGCTGTCTCTGTATGCCTTCATCTGTGATTATTTACTAAATTGATATAGCAGAATTGCAGTGCAGTCATTCAATGCTCCAAACTCCACTCTAGGTAAGCCCTTCTCTATAGATATACCGCTCACTAATTCCACTGGTATAAATGTAGGATAAGTGAAAAGGTCTCACAACACTTTTGGTATAGTTACCTTATAGCCTTCTTTCTATTCTACATGTTTCCCATTTCACTTTAAGGTTGTCATTTGTGAAGTCTTGGCTGTTTCTCACTCTGATTTTTCTCTAACTCAGTCCTTCAACTGGCAAGAAAGAGGCACTGATGCCTGTATACCTTGAATGAATGATAGTTCTGGTTCCTTCTTCCTGCCACTGAATATAGTGGCTACCAGAGAAGATAGGAGCAAAGGACTGACACAGTTGTCGGTGTTATCTTTGCTTAGAGCACCATGCTCTATTCTTGCACTGGGACAAAACCTGAAAGATATGGGATTGGATAACATTAAGTAGAATATTCTTGATTATCACTTAACTGAATAGGGTAGAAACCAGGCATTCCTTCATATGGATCCACAGTGGGAGACTGCAATAAAACCCATAGCTCACGCAACAGGACAGAACTGCAAGTGTGTATTATAATTTAAAAAAGTAAATCTCTACTATGGCTGAGATTTAATCTCCTGTTTAACGTGCCTGTTTCCTCCCTCTACCATCTTAATTCTTTAAATCTTCTGCATATTAAAATTGGTTTCTGTTCCACTGAAGAATATTGCTTGGCTGTGTGTTTAAGAGTAAGTTATCAGCAACTTTCTTAAATACTTGCCTTGTGAATTTCTATAAAATAGAAGTGAAGGTAAATCTGACTGCCGCCATGCACCATGCCTATCAGTAAGTACATCTACTGTCATTCTGAAATCAAAACAAATGTACAGTGGTGGTATGGGATACCAGTTTGGTCTGAAACAAATTAATTTCTATTTTCATTGTATTCTTACTGGCTCAAATAGCCTCTTAATGTTACTTTTCTATGGCTGGTAACTGAAGCCTATCAGTTTAGTGTATTCTGAATTTTCTAAAATTAGTGTTACGTGTTCTATACTACATTCTAAAAATTCTGGGATGTCTTCTAAACTGACAAGTGGGTTCTGCCCACAAAAACATTAAATATAAACTGTAATATAACTTTTGTATCATGCGGGGTAGATATAAACTTATTGGGGAACCTTGTCTCTGTGCTCCACAGGATCAGCTAACTTTAATTTTCTATAAGTGCATTGGGCAAGTTGCTCCTCCCAATGTACAAAAGTAGTATCCTGAAATGTTCATAGTAGCTTTCTCTTAGTAGAATAGGGTATGTCTACACTGGAAACTTCAAAGCGCTGCTGTGGGAATGCTCCCGCAGCGCTTTGAAGTGAGAGTGTGGTTGCGCGTGAGCACTGGGAGACCTGTCTCCCTGGTAATCCACCTCCACGAGGAGATTGGCTCTTAGTGCTTGGAGCCTGTCTACACTAGTGCTTTAAAGCACTGAGACTTGCTGCACTCGGGGGTGACTTTTTTTTTTTTTTCACACCCCTGAGCCAACAAGTTAGAGCGCTATAAAATGTAAGTGGAGACAAGCCCGTAGTCACTTGAAGGTCAAGCTAAAGCTAATTCATTAGGAGTATCACTTAAGGCCAGTTCTTCTTTGAAATTTGTGTTTCAGCCATTCATTGTATCAATTTTTGAGCCATTAGTGTCTTATTGTCTTGTTGCATTTGGAATCTAAATGTGGCTCGGCTGTACTGTTACCCACATCTAAGGTTTTTCTTCCTCCAGTCTCGTTTTCAGAACAAATAACTCAAGCTGAGTCAGTTGTATTAATGAACTGTCCTAGCAGTAACTGCCAGATTATTAGCTGCCTTTAGTGTTGTAACTTCCATGGTAAAATAATGCATATATCAACTTTATTTATAAATGTTTCCAATTGATTACTCTAGGAAGCATATCCACTTTCACATACGACTGTCATGAGTATGGAATGTAATCAATATTTCAATAAAATACTTCTTGCTTTATTTTCAGATGCTTGCTTTAAGTAGCATAACAATATCTCACCCATTTATGACTGGATCAGATCTTCTTGAAGCAAGCAAATTGTGCAGAATGGACTCAAAAGCAAACATTGTACATGGTAAAGTCCAGTATTTTACTTTAATAATTTGTGAATATAGAAGCCCTGAAGGTGCTAAGTTCCCATCACCATAAGTTCCCCTCTTGCACTGGACAAATACTGTTCAGGAAACAGTGTCGTCTTCCTCACAAGTCCGTCGTCTCCCCCCCACCCCACCCCCGGCAGCTGAACTAAAGTGAACATCTCTGCCCCTGGGTAGGCTTCCCCCCCACTACTTTCCCATTACATCCTGTTCCTTACTTTTGAAACAATTAAGTGTCTTTGGTCCTGTAGTCTAAGTGTTGGTTGATATAATAAGTACTCCATGCTTTCATATCAGATCTTCACTCCTGGTCTCTGGATATGAGTGAACTTTTACAGTTGGGGGTTTGTTTTTTTTAAATGAGAATGTAGGTCTTGTCAAAAGTGCTGTAGTTAGGGTACTTCTGTCTGTGCCCTATCTACAGAAAAAAAAAGTATGGACAATGGAAGGCTCCTTGCCCTGATCATCTGCCTTCCCTCATGGCTGGAGAAGGAAGCAATGTTCTCTGTAAAAGGAGCCAGGTTAGTGTTGGGTGGTAACCCTTGAGGCAGAGGAGCACTTTCCTAGACCATAAGTTGCAATTCTGTTTTAGCACTCACTGTCAGATCAGTAGGGAAGAGTTAGATGGCTTGAGGTATAGTGCCATTAGTATATTGATGATATGAAGTTCTCTCTCCCTTTCTTCGGTCTAGTAAATACTCTTCCAGTGTCTAAACAAAATGGGTTTAAATGAATGAGCTGGTTGAGGCTTCCTTTAAATAAAACAGCTGCTAGTGCTACACTAAAGAATCAACTTGAACTGAGAGTTGGTTCCTGTCCTTTGGGCTGTGGGGACAGGGCGGCAGCAGCAGGGCATGTGCTGAACTTTTGCTACCAAAGTTGGTGACCTAAGTCTCTTTGGATCCTCAACTGTTTCTGTATGTTCAGTATCTCAAAGTGCTTCTCTGTTGTGGGCACTGTAACAATCTATAGCTTGGACACCTCCATTGGATTATTGCAGTGAGCTGCTCTTGAAGATATAACTAAGGCCTACTCAAAACTACAGCCACAGCAGAATGCAGTTGCTCCTATATTTCCCTGCATTTCATAAATGGTGCATATTACAGATGTGCTTCTGGAACTGCACTGCCTTGTTTCTGATACAATTCAAGGCACTGATTGATCTAAAATGCACAAACTTTAGGTCCTGGATATTCAAAAGATTGACTTTCTCTATGCTTTTACCTAAGTCGAGGAATACTTTAGCTAAAAATACCTTGGCCATAGCTCTAGCATTCACTTGTCCCTAGTGGCCTGACACTCTAGGTTTTGTGTGTGTTGGTTTTTTAAACTTTCAGGGAGCACACTGTAATACTCATTTCTATTTGGCTTATGGGTGAGAAGTTCCTTTTTTTAATATGCTCGTTTGTTTAGTGGTCTGACAAGGAAAGATACATGTTTATATAAACCCAAAATTGTTGGCCTTGGCTTACCTTCGGAGACTTCCATGAGAGATACTACTAGTGGTGATAGTTTTTAATACAGATACCTGTTTATAAGAATGTGAACTGCAAATATCAAATATCAATCAGAAGTTACCTTGTTTTTAAGGAGATGGGCTGAACTAGCCCAGAAAATGTACAAATGGTAAGTTGAGAAAAATGTCCCAATGTAAAATTATTACTGAGGTAAAAGTAGAGGGACAAAGTGAGTAAGGTAATGTCTTTTATTGGACCAGTGTGTTGGTGAGAAGATTTTGAGCCACACAGTGCTGTTCTTCAGCTCCGTAAAGCTTGTCTCACTAACAGACATTGGTCCAATAAAAGAGAGACAAGGTGGGTGAGAAGGTCTAATATGCTGGGACTGCTGTGGCCACAACTATGACACATTTACCTTGGTGTATATAGTAATTCATTAATGTAATTAGGAGGCGGTGATATGCTTATCAAAGGAATGATTAAGAAATTGTCGAATGGGCAAGTTAAGTTGACATTTATCTTCCCTAGGGCTTAAGATTGAAGGCCTCTTGTTTGGTATCTTAAAAAGCTTTTCCTAAACTTCCTGAGCTATTAAAGCATTACAACAGGCATCCAGGGCCAGCTGATTTGTCTGCCTTTCAGAAGAATTGGAATTTAACTCCTATAGCACTACATTCGATAGCATACAAGTCTGAGGCCTTGTCTACACTGCCACTTGCAGCACTGAAATTTTCTTTGCTCACGGGTGTGAAAAAACACAGCCCTGAGCAATGCAAGTTTCAGTACTGTAAAGTGGCAGCGTAGATAGCGCTGGTAGCTACTATGTCCCTTGCGGAGATGGTTTTATTACAGTGCTGGAGCTGCAACTACACAGTCCATGTAAAAGCATTGCTGTGGCAGTGCTTTATTCAGCTGTGTAGACCTACCCTTAGTTTCACTGGGGCAAAAGTGAGGAGAGGCTTTTTTTTCTCTCTCCCCAAACTTGTGTGAAGCTGACTATATCAAGTAATCAGAATCAAAACAAAACTTGAAGCAACAGCAAAAAAAGGCAAGTCAATTTATTTTTAAATACCTATTTTATTCACATTTTAACAAGAAAGCAGGAAGTTTAATCTAGTCAGTTTGCACAGCTCTTGTTCAACCCTGAAAATTTATATAACAATTTTGAATTGTTGATGTGCTTCTTAATATCAAAGTAATTCTATATTGTAAATATGCCTGTATTTTTAATGTGCCTAGAACCGTGTGTGTGTGTGTGTGTGTGTGTGTATATATGTGTATATATATGTATATATGTATATATGTGTATATATGTATATATATGTATGTATATATATATGTATGTATATATATATATATATGTATGTATATGTGTGTGTGTGTGAAAGTTCTCACTATCTTCCTTTTTCTCCATATAGGTTTGTCTGTGCTGGAAATCTGCCTAATTATAGCTATGAAACATTTAAATGATGTTTATGAAGGAGAGCCATTTAATTTTCAAATGGTCTATAATGGTGAGATGAAAGTATCATCAACTTTAAAAATCTCTAAATATCACTTTTCTGTTACTCAAGTAATGTTTTCCTTGGTACAGAATTTCAGAAGTTCATACAACGGAAAGCACATTCGATGTACAACTTTGAGAAACCTGTTGTTATGAAGGTAAACCCTTAGTTTGTTTCCTTGCATACCTAAATACTGATCTGTACACGGGGTATAGTTTCCTAGGAACTACTTTTAAAAATGTTTATCTGTTCCATAGCTAAAGATCTAAGGGATTTTGCTATATGAAGTGATGGGATAGCTCAGTGGTTTGAGCATTGACCTGCTAAACCCAGGGTTGTGAGTTCAATCCTTGAGGGGGCCATAAATCTGTCTGGAGATTGGTCCTGCTTTGAGCAGGGGGTTGGACTAGATGACCTCCTGAGATCCCTTACAACCCTGATATTCTATAATGAAAAGATCAGAAAGTCTCTTATAATAATCACACACTTGTGTAGTACTTGTACTGCCATCTGCTGTATGGGTGTTGTATCTCACTATCCATAGTTAAATATAATGGCAAAATTTTGGGGGTGCTAATATCTGACTTACTGAAACAGAAGCATTACATACTTACCAAAGTGGACTTTTTTTAAGGAGTTGAACAGCTGAACACAAGCACCTGTTGCCCATTTATCAAGGAATAAGTTTAGTATTGACCATTTAGACAGTCATTTATTTTAGTCAATGGAAATAATTAAATGTTTCACTTGATATAGAACCTTTTATTCAGAGACCATATTCTGGTTCCTGGCAGACTTCTAAAGCGTTGCCTTTTTGTGGCATGTAGGGTTTTTTTTGCTGCCCCCAAATTACTCTGATACAAGGGTAGTATTTAGTCCTGAATCAGTCACAGGTTTAAGTTCCAATATTTCTCAAACCAACAGGACTCAAAGTAGCTTAATATCAGTAAAGAGCTGAAACTCCCTTTTCTGTCTTGAACTAAGGTGTACTGGTCTGTCAGTGAGTCTTCTTCATGCCTGCATCTTTTGGACATAAAACTAGACCTATCATTCACTAGCAGAAAAGGGTGTGGTCCAGCCCCTGAAGACCCTGTCAGTTTGTCTGTTCTGGCAGATCCAGACCTCTCTGCTACCAGAGCGGGGGGGGGGGGAAGCTGCCACTCCTCACTTCAACCCCTGAATGAGTTACTTTCTCTCTGGCCCTTCTTTAGAGTTGTATGAGACTCCAGCCTTTCATCTTCAGTTTCTAGTCCCCCTGCTCACCTTCACAAAAATGCAGCATGGTGGATAAACTGATTGAGAATTTGGGGGTCAAAAGAAAACTGACTTGGCCTTCAAGTGTGGCCACACCCCTTTGTGTCAGTGACAGACAGGTATGGCTGTGCCTGGAAAAGTGCAAGTTGCCTGAAGAGCCCTCATAACAGATCTGTGGACCATAGTCCTTGGGAGAAAGGAAGTACATGTAAGTACAAATTTTTTCCTCTTCCATAAGGGTGCAGCCCTTGACTGAACTGTTTTTTATATATTCATTACCCCTGGGGAATGAAAAGATGATTAAGTTTATTTGCTCCAAGACTGTACTGTTAGTCTCACCTTATTAAGGGAGCCTGGCTTTATAGGTTTAAAAATAACTACTCAGATTTCTGAAATTCTTGTAAGTTGTGGTGGGTGAATTACTTGTGGGATAACCTTCACAATTGATTCATCCATTTGCTGCTACTCTTGGGGGAAATAACTGCCCCAAACTGAAAGGCGTCTCTACTACCCGTGTAGTCTATATCAGATGATAAATCTAGCTATTGCCATTCAAGTTCCAGAAATCAAACAAGTCATGAAATGCAGAGTTCAATTTATAAGTGTAGTATCTCCTTCCTTCCTGAGTTATGCAAAAAATCCTCTAGAAATAATTTGTATTAAGTTTAATGGTACATTATATGCCTTTAAACTATCTGGTTTATTAATCTTTAATACTGTAAATTCTATCAATCTGGCTTGGGTTGTTTTAAGTTTGAGATATAACATTTAATGAAATTCAAATGTGTATAATTTAAATGCTACTCATGGCCTAGAGTTCAAGATGGACCACCCTTTTCAATTCTCCACTTCTAGATGAGCTCAAGCAACTGACAACTCACTATTTAATCTTACCTAAGCTTTGTCTTAGTTGATTTTTGTTCAGTTTAACCAAGTTCATAGCTATAAGTTACTAAATGATTCTCCAAAACATTGACAAAAGGCTATATATTCTGTATTTACTGTGAGGTAGTGCAAAAATGACATGTTCAAAACTAGTAAACCACTTTTTCAAGCTTGTATTGATCCTTTGGAGATCTGGAAAGCCAGTCAGGTTTGAACAAAATCCATTCAACCAGGGAGTTGTGTATACAAAATTTGATGGGAACATATTGAACTTTCTAGAATAGCCTTAGTGTATCCTGCTCAGACTTTTTGAAAAATCCCATTTAGTATATCAAGCCCAGAAAACTTAAATGCCCTGGTTCCTGCAAAAACTGAATAACTGAAATGAGTATAAGCAACTGTATTTGTCTATAGTAGTTGATACTACTTCTGTAATGTGGGCTATTCACAATGGTTGTAGTCTGGAAAAAGTTTAACTCAGACCTGCTTGGTTTTTTGTTTAGGCTTTTGAACACTTGCTACAACTAGAGTTAATAAAACCAATAGAAGGACTGCCTCTGCGTGCTCAGAGAGAATACCTACTAATGAAGCTACTTTTGGACAATAATCAAATAATGGATGCTTTGCAGGTGTACCCAAACTGCCCAACAGATGTGAAACAGTGGGCAACATCCTCATTGAGTTGGTTGTGAACTTTCTGAAGCTTCTAAAACCACATTGAAGTGAAATACAATAAATTGGTTTCAGCATAATTTCACTGGAATACAGAATCACACTTGAAGTTAGAGCATGTTTTTTTAAAGATGGTATACTTTTCTGAAGTGTTGTGATACTGAAAATAAACATGAATGTGTTTAATGCCTTGGTAATTAGTTCAGGGAATATAAACAGCAGGCTCAGATTAAAACACTTTCTAGTCTTCAATTAAAAACACTTCTCTCTTCATTGCTGTAGTTCAGCTGGATTTAAGTTATCTGTTCAGATGTTTGGCTAGCACCAAGCAGGATTTTAGTTAAACTACACGAACAACCCACCAGTTTTGACTTGCACATTAATCCTCATTTTGAGTTGAATGAATTTTATTCAACTCATTTTAAATCCCTTTAATAGTTATCAGCTCAACAATGTAAGAATGATTGTACATCCTATTACTGTGATACTTGTGCCTTAGAGGGACAAATTGATAGAATTTCCCAGCTGTAAAAGGACTTTTCAGAGGGGATTGGAGGCTAGTAAGGACTGTTGTCTTCCTTTCCAGTGAGAGGGGGAGGGAAAAAAAACTTTGGTTCTAGGGTGTTAGTGCTTGTGTCCATCAGTTCCATTTTCACTAAGACTGCTGTCTACCTTCTACTGAAGCAAGCTGCTTGGTGGTGAGACAGTTAGTTGCATCAACTATCAATCTACAGTAGCTCTCATTAATTTTGAGTGCATACCTAGTCACTACTATTACTTGTATCCTTATATTAAAAAAAGAGGGATGGTGAAGTCTGGTTTCAAACTGAAATCTGTTAAGGTGATTCAGTATCAAACACCTGCTACTGCTAGAGATCTTAGACCACCACAACATTTCAATTTAAACACCCCACAGAAAGGATGGTAGTGGAAGTAGTATGCCTTATATGCTGGTCCAGCACTACATTATGACCACACTATGATTTACAGCTATTGCTTGTGATTGCTAATTCTAGCTGGAAGATGCAGGGCTATTATCTGAAGAATTGTTATTCCTTCTACTTTATAAACTAGCCAGCTATTGGACTGTAGAGATATTTTCAAACTCTGGCTTAAATCCTTAATAGAAGAAATACAGGGATAGTGGCAGCTAGCACAAATCCTTTTGCAAGAATTAAGGGCCATTAACTTTAAGAAAATTATAAATTCTATGGGTGGCAGTAGATCCTTGAGATGTAGAGTCCCTACTTGAGCTACAGCCACCTCAATCCCTCTCCCTAGTATCTAGAACCCCTAAACAAGTCCCTCTGCATCCAGGCACCCCCAACTGAGCACCACCTGCAGAACCATCTCACCCCACACCTGCTAGTGTGGCTAGCATAGAGGGTTAAGGCCCAATGTTGTTTCTGGGGCAGACCCAGCCTTTTCACTAGTGCAGGTTCAGGTGCAATCTCACTGTTGAGTCTGAGGGAAGGTGGCTACAGGACTGGGGAGCAGAGGCCCTATGCTAGAGTTTCTACCTACCTTTGACAAATAAAATTTTAAAGGACTGAATGATGTGTATTTGATGCACAAGGCTTATGAGGAAAGATTAGAGTTGAGGGGCTTTTTTTCCCCTTTAATAAAACCTAGTGTGTGTACAATAGCAACACTTGAATTATAGCACTGCTACAGTGGAAGGGCTTGGACCTTGCAGAAACCCATGAAATCCCTTCAGTTATGTCATTTCAAAATGTTCAGTTTTGGAAATTTTCAACTGGGAATCAAATGTAAGAAGGAATCAGAACTGAGAGGAAAGTCCTGGATGAAGGTAGCCTGCACCTTACAAAGGAAAAAAAAAGTCAAAGAATCTTTACCTTTCAGATCTCTCATCCATTTGGGTATAAGCAGTTCACATTGGTCTTTGGCTGGAATGACCATGGCATTCATCTCAAAGCCCCAAGCATTAGGGAGGAGGAAGACATTCAGTGCTAGATTTAAGACTATGTGCAAAATCAAGATTTGGGGCTTGATTTGATTCTCACATTTGGCATTTTCAGACAAAAGCTGACAGTTAGTGTTCTGTTTGGATATAACTACAAGAAGCATGGACATTTTTGTATGCACAATTTACATAACACCTTTGACTCATATCCCAACTCAAGTTATGAAACAGAGCCCTACTCTTTAAACCTATAATTAGGAGGCTGGAGACAGTTTACTTGGTTCATAGATGGCAAGAAGGCTCCAATAACCACCAGAATGATCATTTAACTTCAGTTAGAAAAAGAGTTATCCATTCTAAGTAAGGATTGGTTATTCCCTTATAAAAAGCTTCAATTTTGCTGTAGTCTGAACTCTTTTCTAAAGAATAGTTAGGGAAGTTACAGGTGATAATACTTCCAGAAAGTAAGATGCAACTCTTTTCAGTATCATAATCACAGAGCTGCTCCACCAGTGGTGGTAGTACACCATCACTCCTACAAATTATCAGCTCTGCAATTTTCTACCAAGTAGGAATGGGAATAATCTGACAAAAGCAAAAAAGAGCTGGTGCACCTGGCCTTCACATAAAGTTGCCAGAAAAGGGAAATGGTGATAAACATTAGACTAGCAGTACCTAAGACCCTTAACTTTTCTAGCAGTTTTTCTGTGATTGAGGCTGATGCAGGAGTGCCATACCAGAAGTACCCTACTCTCCAAACATCCATAGGGATCCAAAAAACCAACAGTTCTTTAGTGCTATTTTGTTAGTGTTGCTGCCTAGGTAGGGAGGGGCAGTAAAACCAACATTTGTGGATAGAAGGGGATATCAAAGAATATCAAGCAACTGTAGTAAAAGGTATTACCTACTTTCTGCTGACCCCACCTCCTAGGACTTGGGCTCTTCACTTTTATACAGCACTTGGGTTCAGCTCTTATGCATGGGGGGAAAATGCCTAGCAGTAGTTCGGTTAACAAATATCCTGATTGAATTCACTTCAGTTCTCCCTTGTCCTTCTTGTGAGGAAAGGATGGTAACTAATGCATGAGAAGGATTACCTTCTACGTCAGAAATGCAAGAGATAAGAGTCTGCCTCTGCTCTACTTCTCCACTGGAATGCTGTAAATGTCGCAAAAAAAAAAGGGGGGGGGGGAGAGAATTGGTTTTCCTTCTTTAACCTTTTCAAGCTGCAAGGTTTCTGAAGGTAAAGTGTCAACACAAAATGCTCCCTAGATTTATTTTTTCCTAGAGAAGATATGAAAAGTTGAAAAAAGGCATATGCAAGTCATACAGTAGTCACTTTTTTTTTATTTAACTTTTGGGGTAGGGGCAGAAAGAGCATACATTTTTATTTGTACAATATTTAACAATCACTTTTATCCTGGGCTGGGGTTTTTGTTTTTGATACTTGCAGAAAAATAGCAAGTATAATCTGACAGTAGTACAACAACCTGTGCCCAAAACAGACAAATACAGAGAGTAAAGCTAAAATAATTGCTTACCAATATCTTGAGAGGTAACGAATAATATATGAACTGAGACTGCTTAAAAAAAAATAGTACTGCTGGTTGAATATCTGAGGTAAATGATGTTCCATCAAGGATGCTACTTGTATCATTTTGCCCATAAACCTGCATATAGCTTTCTGCACTTTGTACCAAATGTTCCTAATAAAAATAAATGCATTAGAAGTTAAAAAGAGAAATTGGAAAAAGATGAAACTGGTAATCCCACTTGTTAAACTATAATCAGCAATGCTGTTGAAACCTGGTACAAACAAGAAATATTCACTCCTGTTACTGCTTACATTTTAGCTGGAATTCCAAGACTCTTTAAAAGCTACTCTACATGAATTTTGCTATTTCAAATAGATAAAAAATGGTGAATTTCAATCCTGATTTATTGTTTCAGAACGTCACCATGAATGACAGTGCTAGTTCAGTAACTCCAACAATTGAGACACAGTTTCTTCTGAAATGCTAAGGTACATGTAGTAGGTGTACAAAGAGTAGTCATGCATCATGTGATATAAAAATTTCCTAGTAGCTAACACAAACTAAAAAATGCAGGGCTTGGACTTCCAGTAAAGCCAAAAACTGGCTAATCCATCAGTCCTGTGGCAGTTATACAGCAATCATTTAAATAGACAGGCAAAGCCAACAAGTTGGAAGTGAGAGCCAAGGGACTGACTTTTCTTCACAAGCCAAAATACAGGGTGAACCACTGGAATAGACCATACATGTACATATACACCACCACACATGCTGTAAGTACAAAGAGGGACAACGGTCACTACTTCTGCTAGTAAGTAATGCCAGAATATTTTCACTAGCTTAGTTCTTATTTATTCTTATCCTCATTCATGAGTCTGGCTCAAGCATTTTAACTTACACATCTATATTTACTGTACTATAAGTGGAACACACACAGGTTAAAATGCCCTGCAAAACAGAAGTCTTGTGTATAAGAACAGCTCAAAGTTTAGTTATTCCACCAATTATAAAAACACTTTTACCATGAACATCCTTTTGGGTGTGATACTATACTATGCTGTTTTAAAAAAAAAAAGAAGAAAAAAATCCAGAAAATACAGTTAGTACAATATTCACACCTGTGGGGATTTCTATGAAAATAAATATCATCCCATTAAATTGTCAGGCTTTGTGATTCACCTACATCACTTGCAAACACAAAGTGCACTAGCAACACCAAAGGCGCCCCCAAACAGCATGGCCACCAGGGCCCATACCAGCAAAAAGTTCAAGGATCATGCATGCAGGATGCAAGGCTCATACTGACATATGTCCGTAGCTAGGTATGACTTCTGCATTGAATCTTGAATAACTGATCCTTATATCATCCATGCTGTTCCTCCTACTTTTGCCAGTGTTGGGGTTTAAACTTCAGAAAGCAATACAAGTTTTTCAGTAAAATATGACTGGTTTTGTTCATATCTCTTTAGCCATGATCACTTGATGTACGTTTAAGATCCCTGCACTGAAGGTGGAAGCAAAATGAAAATCCAGATCAAGAAAATGGGTGCATGAGTAGTTTGTTTTATAAACAAAATGAGCAAGTTGCTCTACCAGTACCAATAACCCATTAAAGCAGGGATTCTTATGGCTACCATGAAACCCTAGGAATAAGAGTGAAAAACAGCAAGCAGAACAGAATTGAGTGGTATGTTATGCATGAACGTTACTATTACCCTTCTTCCCCCTCCCTGCTTAGAATATGGTAACCTAGGTCTTGTTTATAAATAATTGTATTGTTCCCAGAGATTAAGTGCATATTATATGTAAAATTGAGTGTATTCTGTGGTTTTTACAAATAACTGTTTAAAGATAACATTCACAGTGAGCTCCTGATTGTGACATTAAAAACTTCCTTAAAAATCTGATGCATGATTTAAAAAAAAAAAAAATGACCTGACAAAATACATAGCATAATACTGGCTATTGTTGGTTCAGTACTTGAGTACTTTAGAAAGTTAATTTTTTTACTTTGATCTGTATAAATGTAAAGGATCAAATAACTAATGTAATATTAATTTTGAAAAGCACTTTGGCACCTACAGTCAATTCAGGTTTTTTACATTACATAGTATATAAGGCATGATCTCCTAAACCCTAAAATAATGTTGGAGTCAGCTGTGAAAGCAATTTTATTATTTTTTGCTAGACTGTGCTACCTATGTTGGTATTAGTTACCTCTAAATAGTCATTGCATATTTGAAATTATAGCATAATAACTAAAGTTATCCCTGAATATTTTTAAGCAGTTACATCAGAAGTCTGTGGCTATCATTTTTAACATGACTCCAGGATGAACCTATGCATCACAGACATCAAATATCACTCTGACAAGATGGCACCAAGCTTAAGTGTAGAGAAGTTGCAAATCTCAAAGCAGAGAGAGTGAGGAGTTCCGGGTAATTAAGCTTCCTGAGGTGATCCTGAAACAGTGATACAGAACACACTGCATACTGTTAGTGAAACAAAGTACACTATGCAGAACTTTTTACATACATAAATAGGAAAAAGCCTTCTTTAGAAAGAATAAGAATTAAGAGCTTTCCAGTGTCATAGCTCACATAAAATTAAAAAAAGTCATGCTCAAATATTCCTCAGACACAGCAAACCTAAATAGTAAAAATAAAATGTATGCAATATTTTGGGAACTGAACGTGAGATAAGCTTTAAACTAAAAACAGGAAGAAAGTTTTGTTTCAAACCCAGCACTTTTTATACACAAGCTAGCACAAGAAAGGGCTAAAAACACTGCTTTAGGAATGGCCATTTACTCTTGGCATGAAGCATAGCTTACCCTTTTTTAAATAACAGTGAATTTGTAATACAGCATTTACAAAACATGGATCAATTTATTATTCAAATTGTTAGTGTTGTCAATCTCATAATTTAGCAGACTTGGAACTGAGGTATACCTTGTTGAGGGAGGTTAAAGTAATGCTTGGAAGCCTCTTTGCTATATCCCACTTGATTACTTTTGTTTATATACATATAACAGCAGCACACTAAACATTCACAAGCTGTGTCATATTGGCATTACAATAGTCATTTATATAAACACAACAGCAAATGCAATAAAAACAAGTTACCCTTTTTTAAAATCTGAAATGAAATGTTTGATTTAAAAAAAATAGCAGTAGTTCATTTAAGGAATTAGTCTCTTCTGACAGATATTAAGAAATCTGATGTCAGTTTTTAAAACACTTGATTAGCCCAGATAGGTCCATATTCTTCATTTAAGTTCCTTAACAATATTTTGCCACTTCTCAGGTCAACGTCCTTCAGGACGGGAATGCAGTAAAGTCTCATGTATTCATGTTTGGAAAAAAAGTCTCCTTATTGACATTCCCAAAAAAACTTACCATTCCTCATTTCACACAGAAAGTAACAACCGTAATCAGTCTCATTAGCTTTAGCAGCTCCAGTTCAGAATCCTGTTGGTCAGAATGCATAACCAGTGCAATATCATAGACTGGATTCTTTGGGAGGAAAGTCAACATTTGTCACCATTGTGACCACTGTCACAATGTCCTCTGTTGTTATAATGTTAGTCAGTCTTTGCATCTGAATAATCCGTTCTTCTACGCAGCCAGCTGATAACCTGGCTTCTGCATCATGATCCCAACATTCTTCTATTGTTTCACAGAGCATTGCCATTCCCTAAAATAAAAAGTAATATATAAGTGGAGCTGGTAACTGAGTTGCCTTATACTTTCATTATAAGGCCCTGTTTTCAGTTAAACCACTCAAGCTGAAATCTTCTATGCCAGTTGTATGCCTCAGTATTTTTTTTTCGGGGGGGGGGGGCACAGAAAGTTTCAGCTAAATCAGTTCAACTGATTCAGAATGAAGATAGGCAAAATATGTTGATTTGTCCATGTTGAATAAATCTTACGTCTGAGAGGTTCTATGTTTTGAAGCAGGTACTTGAATTGGGCAAGGGGATCACACATGTTCACTAGAAGTTTGGTGAATTTAACTGCAAGTCTCTAACAAAGATTGTCTGCACTGAGTATGCTCCATCCCCTCACAGCTCCTATATGTCAAATGGACAGAACATGAACCATCCTCAGAGTGACTAAGCAGGACTTTTCCTCCAATTCCTGCAGCCTGAGAACTCCTGTGACACCAAAATAGTGCAAAGAGACTGTTTTTCCCATGCTCTCAATGCTCCTTCTGCTGGTAACCAACTTGAATGGAATGCAGAGGGGTGAGAAGGGTAGGATACAGCCCAGAAGGAGGTACAAGTGTAGAAAGATGACTGGGTGGAAGAGTCTTGTAATCACAAACTCTTCTCCAGAATCTGAAACAGACCCCAGGACACCTGAGTCTCAACATTTCCATGCTGTCTAGCAAATAGCTGTGATGTCCACTGACAAAAGTGTTTGTTTCATTCTCCTGTAGCAGCTGGAACACAGAGGGCAACAACCTAGTCCGGCTATCAGTTACTCTTAGCTCAGGTGGCATGAGATCTGTGCTATGAATCTAAAAGTCCCAACCCTGCTGATGAACCATGCGGAGGTTCATATGGTTCTGAATGATCACATTTGTTTTTTTCAGGAAGTTACATGACAAAAAGCTACAGTAAAAGAATGTTAAGGGTGGCAAAGTCAAGAACTCAGAAGTTAAGAAATGCCAGAACTGAGGTTTGTCCATGCCTTATTCACATCAAAGCACTTAAATCCTGCCCCGAGTACAGAATATTCTCTCATATATATATTATATTATATTTTAGTAACTTTGCCATCTTAAAATATAATGAAAGATCTAAGAACTACTGGTCCTGTTCAAAATTTGAACGAAATAACTCCAAGGAAAACAAGGGTACAAGCAGGGTATTAATATAGTCGGGCAGTGGATGCATGCTTCATTCCATGATGACTTAAAAATAGCACGCTGCTCCCTAATAGCAGGCTAGGGTATGAGGTGTTCTGATTTTTAGGAGACAAAAAAAAGAGTCACAATATTCAGAATTCTGAAGACGACATGCCACTTTTTCCTAAAGTGGAGGCATCGCTCAACAGCTAGCCCAAACCCAAATGTAGGCAATTCATTCTGCCCACCTAAATTATCCTTGAAGTTTCAGGGACACTCTACCTTTCTGAGATTGTTGCTGTGGTATTAAAGGCAGCCACCAAATTACCCCCTGAAAGGTGGCATCATTTCAGTAATAAGTGAAGGGGATAAATATGCATCTTTATATGAAAAAAAAAACAAAAAAAACACAGAACTGCTTAGGACTAAAGTTGAAGAGTCCCTTCACCCACCAAGGATGTTTAAAACTTTTATGAAATACTTCGGAATCCTTTGGTATGAGCGCTGCATTTAAAAACAAAGTACTGTAAAACATATTAGTATACAGTTTAATTTTTCAATAGAGCTAATTATATAAAAATATTGCATCAGAAGAAAAATGTCCACAGATAAGCATTAAACCAAATATCATTTCATTAAAGTTTTACAGTTAAAGCACAGTAATACTTTCAGAACTTGGTTATTTTACTACTTACAGCATGTTTCTGCCAGCACTCTCTTAAAACAGGCCTCTTCTTTTTGTGCACTACAACTTCCTGCATGTCTTCAAGGGATGGATGCTGGCCAATTTCCTCTTCAAATGGCAACATGTACTCATCCACTGGTCCTATATTTAAGAAAATAAATTTTGCTTTTCAGACAATTGGTACACCACAAATTTAATAACTATGTCAAAATACTGTACAGCCATTTACTCACTATTGCCATGAAAAACTCATATGATGCCAAAATGGCAACACTAGATGCTGCCATGTGAGAAGCCTGAGAAGCAATGGATGCTAGACTACATATCAAGAGCGTGGCCATGTTCTTAAAAAAACTCTACCATTCAACTCATGAAGTTACGTTAATAGTAACTTATCCCCTTCAAGCTGACGGCAAAGGGCAACTAGATTGTAAAAAGATATCCAGGGGAAAAAAACAACAGCAACAACGAAAGCTCAGAATAAAGAAAGGTGCAAAACCAGGTTGTAATGTAACCTCTGTAGGCCCACCACCAAAATTCAGAGCCTACATTACAAGCATTTTGCAGGTACACTATACCAGCAAAGTGTTTCTAGCGTGGACGCAGCTTATATGGAGCCTATTCTAGTCTATCCTCTCCCCTCCCAAAATGAAACAAGGGCATTCTTACTAGTGTAACTAGGTCTACCCTAGGGACTTTTGGCAGCACAACTGTCGGTCAGGGATCATACCTTTTCACACACCTAAGTAACATAGGTATGGCAGTAGAAGTTTGCAGTATACAAATGAACTTGGCATTACACGGAGTACAGGTAGCAATGCCTACAGTTAGGGTTGACCAACACTTCCCATGTTAAGACCTTGTTTCCATTTACTTATACAGCTAGAAAAGAAATAGTTTTCTGGACCTATGACAATTTTCAAGATGTCGAAAAAATTTCCTGTTCCAAATACTGACAAAAATCAATCACACATTTTCAGAAACCAAAAAGCAAAAACAAAAAAAACCCCACCATCCTGGTCTGAGTCCATCAAAAAGTTTGAAAGATTACAAAATTATAAAACCCATTCTGATTAACTTTTAAAATAATGATTAGCTTAAATTTTGAAATAAAGTTATATAGAACCCCAAAACTGGAATTCTTTAGAAAACATCGATATTAAGAATTTTGAAACATATTTTTCAAAATGTCTTCAAGGTGAAAATTTTGTTGAAACCCACTTTTTCCTCTTAAAAGTTTTGGTTTGGAAAAATTGCCTGAACAACTCAACTTATAAAACTTGGCCAAATTTATATCATTCAGGCTGAATTTTTCTATATCAAGTGTGTGTCTGGCTAAATTTTTTGAGGAAAATTTCAGCAAAAATGGTTTAGCCATTTCTGAGAACAAGATTAGAGAAAAATACGTTTTCCTTTGGAACAGTATCTTAATATTTGACTTGGGGGGTGGGAAGGATAGCCATGCTGTCAGGAATACACTTTCTGCTTATCTTTAAAAAAATAAAAAATAAAACACAAAACTTATATTTATCCAAATAATTGGACTTTGAAAAAAAAAAATGCAATTTGCACATGCTCAGTCGAGACTTAGAATCTGGTTAGTAAATTCTCTGAACATTGTCTGTACTGAGAATGCTCCAGTCCCTCAACTCTTACATGTGATCAGACTGTGCATGCAATGCAATGAACTAGGCCTGCTCCATCCTAGGGTGCAGGATTTGTTCCTTGTATGTATTGAAGTCACTTCTGATGACTTTTTAGAAAAAAAGATTTATTATTAATTATTATTATTATTATTATTATTAACTGAGTACTACCATAAAACAAATGTCTGTCTGGAAAGCATGCAGCACACGAGAAAGAAGTTTCCCTGGCTCAAAGTTCTTACAATATATGAAGGATGGACAGATAGAATTCCTCCTAACCACTGTCTATTCATCTAACTTAAATTAAGGAAGCACCAATTATGACTCCATAATAAAGGCTAAGAAATTTTGCACGTAAGAGCAGGAATTCTGTTACATATGAAAATTACACCCTTTCCTCTCCAAAGTTACATCACTTACTCTGAGTAAACAATGAATTTTGTGAGAATTCAGAAGTAAATGGTTAGTTTATGAATTTAAATTAATTTTAAAAATAGGTTAAGAAATTTGGAACCCTATGTCAGACCTTTATTTTGTTCCCCTAATATCTTAATAGAACAACACTGACTCTTCAAACTTCCCATATAATTAAAATTTGCTGAAATCTTCTGGATAAGTTACATTTGAAAAAAAAAAAAAAGTAGATTAATGGACACTTTTTGGTGTTACTCTTCATAACTGAACGTTCCTGCTTCAGGTTAAGCTGAAGGATAATTTTCAAGGAGTTACATGAAGAACTGCCCTCTTGAAAAATAGCTGCTGTCTCTTATTGCCATTCATCTGCTCCTCAATGTTCCCCTCTGACTTCTGACAGCATTAAGGGAATACCATCTTCCCTGCAAGGAGCTTGGCTTCATTCCTATTGTGAATAAAACAGAGGCAGTGGCCATTTTGACAGGGCAATTCTTCATAAGTTTCTCTGAAGAAAATTTCATGCACCAGTGTACACTGGGGGGCAAGCTTTCAATTATGGAAAAAAACAACAAAAGGTTAAATTTAATCCTTAATATTTTTCTTTACAAAAATTACTTGTTGCCCCTTACCTAGTCAGAGGACAAAATGGTGCAAGAGGGCAAGAGCCAGCACAAAGTATGCGCAGAGGAACAGAAGGGTGCAGGAGGGAAAAAGTTAGAATTTGTGCACAATAGACTGTGGAGAAGACAAGAGGGAGGGGGAACGTATGCACAAGGAAAGGTAGGGAACAGGAGTGAGGGGGAAACTGCGGTGTTCAGCAGCTGCTTTCCACTGGTCTGGCGATATAAAGCAGCTGTAAACCCAGCATGATCTGGCTGCTTTATGCTGCTGCAAAGGGGCATAAAATAGCCGGAGAGTACTGTGATTTATTAGAAGTATCACATGGGAGATTCTCTTTGAATTTCTTGTTTAGGGTTCATGTATGCTTTAAAAAAAATTCAGACAAAAGGTATGTTAAAAGGATTTATTAAGACTGAGATACATATAAGTAATTTAGGGTAATACATATTACAGGGATGTTGCATGTATCCTACAAAATCAACCATTTTAAGCCTGGGAAATTCAGAGCTTTAAAAAAAAAAAAAAAAAAAGAACAATGAAAGACATACACACAACTCCCGCTTCCCTCCAATCCCCCGGCTGATTCAAAGTTTTAAATACTGCGTTATCAACTATGTATTTTTATAAATTAAACATTTTGCTTACCATCTGACGCAGTACATCGGGATGCCAGTTCCCACAGGACTAATCCCATGGCATACATATCTATTCTCAGAAATGCATCCCTTTGGAAGTTTATCGCACCTTCTAATACTTCTGGAGCCATATACCTTCGTGTACCAACCTTTTAAAGACATTCAAGCATAAAGTGTTACTGCACTAAAAATTGTTTATTTCAAGATGAGCAAAAAGACAGATTGACCTTACTGTACAATTCTCTCCCCCGCCCCCATTAAAAAAAAAAAAAAAAAAAAAAAACAAACACAGTTGTAGTCATTGCCTTTACTTTAGACTCAATCCAGCAAGATGCTGCATGCCCTCAGCTCTCAGAGTTGAGAGGTTAAGGATGCTCAACACCTTGACAGATTGGGCCCCCACAGTGGATTTCCACAATGCATAAAAGTCTGCATGTATGTTTATAAATAATTTAACATTAATTTTCCTTCAGCAAACCTGGTCTTTCCCTCCCCTCCCCTGTATCTTATTTTCTTCCTGGTTGCTGGAAAACCATCATTTCCTCTGCTATTAATATCAAAGGTGTCACACACAGATTCCTATAAGTAAATCCTCCAAGACAGTTGAGGGAAGGCAGATGACACTGAAGAAAGGAAGATCTTCAGACAGAATTATTTTAGTTGGCCATGATGAATTATGAAATTGAAACATCACATCAATTAATTTACTGAATTAGACCTAAAAGAAAGCTACATTTCTTCTGGTTAAAATTCATTTAGTACAAAGGGCCAAGACAAGGCACCATTCACAACTTAAGCCCTTTCCACAATGCTTTTGTCATGAGTTTTAATTGGCTTAGATTGTGAAGGCCTTAAACACAACATCAGGGCATTTCTGTGCCTGTAACATAATACCTTTTGAACACCGTATCTGATCCATTTCAAAATTTTCAGTTAACATTCTATGCATCAATGGCTGGAATCCTACTAATTTTAGGGGAAACTAGAAAATCAAAAGGGGAAGCCTCTGCCATCTGTTTAGCAAAACCATAGCTTCAAGGACTTCTAATTATCTATGGTTGATGGCACCCATTAATGCCTTTCAGTAGCAAGTGCTCAGCCCCTCAGAACAGAGAGAAGAATGAGGGATCTTGACATGGGGTGCAAGTATGGGGGACAGATAAAGCCTCTAGCATGGCAGAGAGAATGGGGGACCCTGGAATGGAGCACACACATACCTGGATGGGAGGATATTGGAGGAGTTGCAGGGTATCCCAGACTTAGAGGGGGATGGGTGGGTGGCACACAAAGTTTATGGGGAGGTGTTGGAGAGATGCAAAGAGCTCCTCGTTTGTGCAAGCAGCTCAGCCTACAGATGCAGCCAAGTGTGTGACCACCTTGTAACTAAATACCTTCCAAGCTACAAACTTAAATATAAGCATTGTTAGTATTTATTTAATTTTTATGTAAATCAATTTACCTGTCCATGTGTGTCACCTGCAGACTTTCCAGCCTCAAACTTTAAAGCTAGACCAAAATCAGCAATACAAGCTGTAAGGTTGTTTTTCAACAGCACATTCTTGCTTTTGATGTCCCTTCAAATTAAGGGGACAAAAGAAAAAATTACCCAAATATTACAACATCTAAAAGGTCTAAGAATAAAAGTATTAATGTAACAAAACAAAGGATCTTGCAGATGCATAATAATCTGAAAACATAGTTATGGTCTAAGAGTATATTTAAGCAACATTAAAGGGATGACAACAAAAGCTAAGAGACAATGAATGTTAAGTGTGGCTGTCCAACCTTAAAATCATGCTGTTTAAATATTTTTAAAACCGTGATAAATTAAAAAACTGAGTACAGTACATTCTTGAAATATAAATTTATTGTCTTTCTGGTTTAAGAAAATCTAATTTGTAAAATAAGTAAATCTGATGTGGAAGTATCAGTATATACAGGACAGAATGTACTTATTGGTCACTTTCTTGACTTTTAAAAACGAAATTGTGCTTCAAATTCAGCCTCTTCCTGCCACATGAATTGGAAAAGGAGAGAACCCCTTGAGCAGAGATAAGGGCCTTTAAAGTTTTTATGATAAGGGGACCAATAGCCCAAATAAGTTAAAGCAAATACTTGTTTACAAGGTGGCAGTCTATCTTCCGCTCAATTTTCAGAGGGTTCGTTCCAAAAAATCATGACCTTCATCTTGTTGAAAACTAGGTCTTGAGAATTACAAAAAGAAAAACGAGATAATCGGCACAGGCCTTTTCTGGCTTTATCACAAACTCATGTAATAGGCACATAACACCAAGATAGATCTACCTGTAATGTGTGATGGGGAGAAATGCTCTTCCTTAAAACATCCACCACATCATTAATACTTAAATTTAAAGAAAAGGTGCTAGATGGCATCCCTGGCATACTTCAATACGAACAGGAGTTCCTACTTCATACTGCTCTGGTGTAGAACCTCCAAAATATATAACAGTCTTAGATTGGTACCCATCTTTCTTAATTTCACCCAAAGTTTGTCTCAGTTAATAGACTCAAATGCTATCTTTAAATCTATGAAAGTAGCATATAATTTAGTACCCTGAACCACAATATATTTATAAATCATGTAAGAAAATAATCAATTGTGGCTCTATCTGCCCTAAAGATGGACTGCTCTTTGTATAGTAAATTAGCCTCTGAAGCCCATTTCAACTTTAGATAGTGAGAATTTGGAGTAAGTTTTCCTTGCCACAGCTAACAGACTAATAGGGTGAATGAAGCAGAATTCTTTAGGTAACAGGATTATTTGTCCTCTTTTTAAATACTAGACTTCCACCCAGATGGAATCCATCCAAGATGATTAATGACAGTAAATAATTTAGCCAAGTGGTGATTACCAATCAAGAGTCTCCTGAATAACTTCAACAGGGAAAAAAAGTCTTCCTCTGGACTTTTTTCCATTGTTGGGCTAAAATAAATGACGGGATTTAATTGTCCTTTATCGAAGGACAGAGTGATAAGTTTATGGAGGGAATTGGTATGAAGAGGTTGCCTACAATGGTACATGGCCCATTTGCAACTAGCAAATATCTCCAGCAGCCAAAGATGGGACACTAGACAGGTAGGGCCCTGAGTCACTACAGTCAATTCTCTTCCAGGTGTCTGGCTGATAGATCTTGCCCACACTCTCAGGGCTTATTTGAAGTTGGGAAGGAATTTTCCCCTCGAGGTCAGATTGGCAGAGACCCTGGGGTTTTTGTTTGGTTGGTTGGTTTTTTGGCCTTCCTCCGGAACATGGGGCACAGGTCACTGGCCGGATTGAACTAAAGTAAGTGGTGGATTCTTTGTAGCTTGAACCCTTCAGATAATTATTTGAGGACTTTAGTAACTCAGTCTGAGGTTAGGGGTCTAGTACATGAGTGGGTGGGTGAGGTTCTATGGCCTGTGATGTGCAGTGGTCAGACCAGATGATCACAGTGGTCCCTTTTGGCCTTAATGCCTATGAGTCTATAAATCAAAGAAGGGATTTCTCATTGCACCAACTATAGAAGAATTAGGATAAAAAAAAAAAAAAGAGTTGGAATGTGCTATCCAGACTTCATCATTAATATAGGGTTCATCTGGAGTATATCTACCAAGGCCTGAGCCCACCATGTTCCACAACACGGAATAATTTTTAGCTTTAGCTACTGCTTCAAAATTGTTACATAAGGATCTCAGATATTCTTGGTTTTCATTACATAATAAACCTCGATATCTTATTCTGACAGCTAACAACTTCTGAAGTAAATTAGGAGAGGGATATTAACTATATATGCAACAGCAGACTTTTCCTTCACGCAGTCCACGTCAAACCAAAGTGTGCTTAGCTTTGAAAGCATTTCTGGGATAATTAAAACCAAAGTCTACTTATTTAGAGAAAAGTGGCAGTAAGGACTTGACCGGCAATTCGTATGATTCACAAATTTGAGAAGAATTCTCAGACTTAATTATGTCTCTGAAAAATCTAACATCAGTCCTCCAATCTCCTAGATAATTTGTCATTAATGGCTGGAGTCCATTTTAGTCTTTTACAACCACATTGTTCCAAAGGGAGTAATTAAGGCATCATCATCCATCGGAAATAAAAACTCTCTCCAAAAAGGGTACATCATTCATAATTATAGAGAGGTTGGCAGTCACTATCTGGGCAAGAAAATTTACAGAAATCCCAATACTACTAGAACCATTTGATGAAATATAGGCCAACTGTCCACCTATCTGCCACATTTTTCCATTTACAGGTATCAGATTAAACTTGTGTAACAAAGCCTTTAATATTTGACCAGCAATGTTAACCACCTGATCTCTAGAGCGGAGAGGGAAGTTCAAAAATCTCCTCAGTGTTTTCTTCCCCTTACACTGAGTTTGTTGAAGGACCTATTCAAGCATTAAAATCTCCCAAAATTAGACAAGCTATATCAATTTGCTCATCCAGGCATTCCCACAATTACTCCAATAAGATGAGGAGAATGAGGGGAAAAGAATATTAAATACTAAAATTTGGAGATCAGGAAGAAGAAAAAAAAACAGCCTGAATGCCCTGACAATTTGATTCCCAAGGTAAAATCCAGGATTTCAGGCATAAGGAAACTAAGGTTGCAAGTACTCCAGCTATATGACCCCTTACTAACAATCAATTTCCTCCTTGAAGAAAGGATTCAAACCCAAGAAAGATTAGGATTTCAGACTCACTAACCATGTTTCTTGTTAAAAATAAATCAATTCAAAAGGTTTCCAAAAATTTAAAAACTAAAATATGTAAATTGTTCTGGCAAAAGCTCTCCCTGGGTAAAGGGAGAAATTGGACAATCCAGTCAGACATAAGAAACAGACCCAACAATCTGACTAAGAATTTGATTAATCTCCAAATACCACTGTATTCTAAAGAGTAATCTATGTGGGAGATTTTGAATGTAAAGGAAGTCCATCTCAAGGCTTCCATGAAAAACACTACTATTTTGGGGAAGGGGAATTGTAAAGCTCATTGGTCTAAAAAAGACTGGAGGGTCAAACTTAGGAGACCCAGTTAAATAAATAGTACAAAAAAAGTTCTAGGAAGTAGCTGAGGAAAAGTTGATGTAAAATTTTGAGATGTATTCTCATAAGATAAATAAGAACCAGACTCTTCTAGTAGATCCGAAGAATTATACCTTATATTTTTGAGAATGTCCTATAGAGCAATAATCTCTCAAGCGTGTTTTCTACTCTAGAGATGAAGACACCTCAGAGCTTTAGCGGTTTCCTCAAATTCCAAATTCTAGAAGCTATGTGCCAATATAAAAAAATTCCATCTCCCACCTCATACACATTTCAAAAATAAAGGTGCCTTATAAACTTAAGAGTTAGATAGTAAATGCCAAATGAACCTTATCAACTTGTAACTGATTTAGATCAATATCTGTAAGGGGCTGTCTGCCTGAATATAATCCCCCTGGGAAAAAAAAAAAACAAACAAAAAAAACAAACAAACAAACAAACAAAAAAAACTTATTCTTGGAAGTATTTAAACCAAGAAACAGGATTTCTGAAACCTCAGAGAACCTGTGTATGGTAAGGCAAGAGGACGACGATGACAAAAAGAAGGTGTCAATTTCTCTTAGTTTAGCCTTAACTCAGTAATAAAGCTCTGTATATTCCTATCATCAATATGAGAGAAATTATTTATAATTTTAGGTTCTTCCTTCTCCAGTGGGGGGCATCTAGCTTGCCTGTTAGACCAATCCTCTCATAATCCACCCAACAGAATTTTTCATTCAAAGAGCTCTTAATACTTGCTAATGCCTCCACAAGAGGTTTCAACAAAGAAAACCAATGGGAACTGTGAATAATTAAAATAAAGATGGTCATAATCCACCAAGTCTGATGATACAGGTTCACAGATATTGCTCCTGCTATTCACAAGATCCTTATCTACAAGTTCCTTAGTCAATAAGATACTTCCAAGGGTCTCCTTCCCTCAGAATTCAAAGTATCAAGAGAATCAGAACTCGTGTGAGCCAAACCCCAGACGGAGAGTAGGAGAGTTTGCTTCTCAGAGAAGATAGTTAATTTAGACTGCAATAGATGAGGATACCCAGGACAATCGAGGGGGGAGGGAGGGAGGGGAGGGAAGAATGGGGGAGAGGGAGAAGGAGAGCAGACCATCTTCAAGGGGAATGCCTACATGCTTTTAAATTTCTCACCTTTGGGGGAAGTGTGGAATAGAGCTCACGGTCTTTAGGGCCATTCTGTTAATCCCAAAAGAGCGGAAGAAAGAGCTCCTTCCCAGCTCATTCACCACTAAGCGATCACTACAGTGATACTGCAACTCTCTACAGAGGGGAGAGAGTGAGCTCCTCTCCAAAACAATCAACGCTTTCATCTTAAAAGTTCTATTTAAGCTTCACAAACTCCTACCAAGGAGGAATGATTCTACGTCAGTCAGGCCTCAGTCCAACTTGGATGATATGACTGCCTTCAGAGTGGCTCACTTCATCCGCCACTTGTTACAAGTCTCCAGATTCTCCAAGTTTACAGAGCAATATTGCCATAGAGAAGAAATTGCTGCTTATTCACT